AATCTTATTAAGCCTTTGGAACTAACTTTAAGTTTATATAAGAAACGCAGCAGATAGAGGAAACAAGTTAACATGACACTCTAAGGAAACAGCAAGGCTAGTCTAATCTGTGAAACTTTCTAAAAGGATAACCATGTCACTTCATAAGTAAACGGATGTGAGATTGGGAGTAGAGAAAGGGAGAGGACTATTAGAGACTGAAACAGACTAATGAGATAAAACAACCAAATGCTATGTGCGGCCCTCCATAGGACCTTGTTCTGAACAAATCAAACTTTAAAAGCATTTTCAAGATAATTGGGGAAATTTTAATGTAAGTTGGGTATTTGATGACATTAAGAAATCATTGTCAATTTTGATTAAGTGTAATAATCATATTATGGTTTGGTAAGAAAATGTAATTATTTTAGAGAGACTATGGTAATATTTGAGAAGACATGTCATAATGTCAAGGATTTGCTTTAGAATACAAAAGAAAAACTGAATAGATAAAACTAAGTGTCAGCGCTATTGAACCAAGATGACAGGTGTATGGGATTCGTTATATTAGCATACAGCTTAAATCTCTAATAATAAATTAATAAATATTACCAAATGAATAACCCATACAAATGTAACAAAGAAAGAAAATCAAAATAAGTTTTCCAGTTAATTTTATGTATCACAAATAGATAGAAAATAAAAAATTCAGTTTAACAGCTAATTAAAATTATGCCAGCAGAACTGTACCAAAATAGATTTAAATGACGTTAACTAAGTCACAAGTTATTTTCTGTGTCAGTAATTCTCAACTCTTGCTACACAGTAAAACCATCTTGAGATCCTAAAAACATAGGAATGCCTGTGACCCACTCCAACTATTCTCAGTCTGGGGTAGAATTTGGTGACTTCAATGTGCAGCAAAATTTTGAGAAACAATGTTCTATAAGACCTACATGTTTATCTTTATGAATAAATGTTGTATCTGTTCACAATGATAACTATTTTAACGTCAATGATTTCCTACAAAAGATCTGCTTTGCCTTTCTTTTAAAAACTTTATGATGAGAATGCCTGTTCCTCAATTTGAAATACAAGGAAAGCTCTAAAATAACTATTCTTTGTACACACTCTTTCTCCTAATTTTTAGAATGCAGACAACATGATCATGAAAAATTACTTCCAGCAACTTTTCTAAGTGATCTACCCCTTAATAAATTAACTACACCTCTTAACATGAGAAAACGATTATAATGATATCTCAATTTATAATCTGAAGGATTTTTGATCACCGTGTTCTTTGAAACAGATATGTGAATGACTAACAGTCTGCCACATTTGTGATTATGTATTTAGATGTCAGATTTTTAAACTCATTACAAAGTACTCAGTCTCCTTTCTTTGAACAAATTACATTTTCTGAGACACTATGATACCTAGCATTGAAGAAAACAGAAAAGCCAGATATAAATGTTAGTCTTAAAAAAGTACTGTGTAAAATAAATCAATTCAAATTTATAGTACTGATTCTAAAGTAATTACATTCAGTCAAGTAGCTAGATCTAATATAAAAATCATACAAGGTAAAGGAAGCCCAACACAAATATTTAGCAAAAGAGTATCACCTTATATTTGTGTTCTTACAAAATTTTTGAAACAAATTCAATTACTTCATTTTGAACAAGTACTGTTTCAGGAAGACTGAGCAGGAAGTTAATCCCATCAATACTAGTTTGTTGAAGTGATCTGATTAAATAATTAGAGGAAAAGATTTAGTTACTATTGTAAAAGGCATGTCCTCACTTATGCCATATTGGGTATCATTGTAAACAATGTTTAAAAAGCAAAAATAAAGGTGGAAACTGAGATCAAATATTCACCAAATGTATGAAGAAGAAAATAGTGTCTTCATGTCGTACAAATGAATACTTTGGGATTGAGATCAATTATTTAAAAAGGTAAGATTATTTAAACATACTTTTCCAAAAACTGACCTGTCTAACATATGTGAATAAAGCTGAAGGCTTGGCTCATCCAAAACATGCATATTAATATCCTTACTACCCATTTTATAAAAATTATTGTACATCCTAACAGAAAGAATGAAGGTAAGCAATTTAGAGAATTGTGACTGTCAAATAAACATTTAAAGACTGCAAACTAAATCTTAACAGAAATTAAAATAATAGACATTTTCCTATCAAATTAATCTTGTGAAATTAAAAAATAATATGCTGGTTCGGGAAAAAGTAGGACACCCAGCCTCATATATAATTAAGGTTAGTTTAAGTTAATATCACCTTTAGATGAAGAAATTTGCAAATAATGTAAATAGGCTTTAACATTTTCTTTGACCCAATAATTCTAATTCTAGGAATCTAGTCTAAGAAAATAATTTGAGAGGCAAAAAAGTACAAGGGTGTTTTAATAAAAAGTATGGAACAGCCTACATGTCCACTTTCAAAGGTACAACATATCCACTAACATGCTATGCAGGTATTAAAACTATATTTCAAAACAAATTCTAAGTAAAATATCAATTACAATAAAAGATAATGCAAATCTGCAAATACAGAGCAATTTTAATTTTCTACAGAAACATGTATTTACATTAAAAATATAAAAATAAATGGTTATCTCTTGTGAATTATCAAAACTTGGGTCCATTATCTGATTTTTAAAACCTTTAACTCACCTACTTTCAACCTATTTTTGAGTATACTTAAAAAGCTCAGTTATAACAAGATGCAAAAACATTAAAACAGATAAAAAATGAAGTCACTTAGGAAAGGCTAAACATTTTTTCCTTTTTCTTACGAGGCAGAGATGAAGAAACAAAAATGCATTATACTAAAAAATTCAACACAGAAGTGGAAAAAGACACTAGACAATTTTTTGGTGAAGGGAAAAAGACACTAGACAATTTTTTGGTGAAGGGAGGAACTTAATTTACATGCTTTTAATGTAAAAACGTAAAACACTTAAAAAATGAACAAAAGCTGTCAAGCATGGTGGCTCACACCTGTAATCCCAGCTCTTTGGGAGGCTGAGGCGGGCGGATCCCCTGAGATCAGGAGTTCCAGACCAGCCTGGCCAACATCGTGAAATCTCATTTCTACGAAAAAACACAAAAATTAGCCAGGGGTGGTGGTACATGCCTGTAGTCCCAGATGCTCGGGAGGATGAGGCGGGAGAATCGCTTGAACCCGGGAGGTGGAAGTTGCAGTGAGCCGAGACTGCGCCACTGCACTCCAGCCTGGGCCACAGAGTGAGACTCCGTCTCAAAGAAAGAAAAAAAAAATGACTTTATTATTGTTTTAAAAGTTTCACCAAGGTCATAAGATCACAAGGAAAATGCTGAAAAATTCCCGAGAAGAATCCAGGTGACTTCTAAACAAGCTTCCCACCCAGGATCCAAACGCATCTAAGTATATTCAGATGGGCAAATACACATAGCTCAGTATGGTCCAAAGAAGTGATTAGTAGTCCATTGTTAATGCTAGCTGGAGTTTCTCGGTATTTTATCTTTAAATTGTTTCTAAGAATTTTTCAACTTCTTAGAAACTATATGTAAAATCTTGATGACACCATCTGTTTTAATAAAGTAATGTATCTGCCAAGTGCCTAGCTGAATGCTTATGACCTAGAAGCCACTCAATAAATTCTGATTCTTTCTATAACAATGTCTATCAGTAAAGAGTTTAATAATCTATAGTAGTAATTATAAGCAAAAACCATGTTTCACTGTTTCACTCTTGACTTTGCCTTTAAAAACTGTACACTGTGAAATATTCAATCTTATTAACTTGAATTACGAATTCAGCTAGACACACACAGAGGGGTAGAGATTCTGTCAGGAAAGAGTGTAAGTGACCTAAAGCATCTACTGCAGTCATAAAAAACACTATGACTTGTGCTAGATATACCAGAAAATTCAAATAAAGGGTCAGATTTGTTTGTTTAAAGTTGCCAGAATTAACAGGTAGTTAATTCTGATTAGTTACTAGAATCAAATATCAACTGCCTTAGAGTATCTTTCTCTACATATATACCACTTACAGATTTCAGATTCACAAACTGATGGCATGATTGTTATATACTGGGAAGTAAGTATTTCCAATAACTACTTCATTGTACGATTTTTTTCTTTTTGAAATGATGGACATAAACTAAACTGTAAAAGCTAGTTTGTCAACTATCAATTTTGAGTTCCATATGTATAAAAATCATGACTTAAAGATAATCTTACAAATACTAGAAATCAAGAAATACATCAAATAAAAGGAGACTCTAAAATTCCATCTTATAAAATCACTTTGCATATTTTACTTACAAAATAATATTTTCCTTTATTTTTTTCTTCATCTTGATTTCACTCTATCAACTATAAGCTGCATATGCTTGCACTGTATTTTTTTAGGTGGCTCAAGTCCATTGTGGTACAAAGTAAAATATAAATGATTAAGACAAAATGCAAAGAAATAGCAAAATTAATTTTACAGAAAATTTCTTCTAGTTTGAATTGTTTAAAGGCCACTACAATATGCTTCAAAAAAAAATCCTACATGCCTCCACCCATTATGTATGTTTTGTCTCTTAATATTTCACTGTTTCCATGCAATGCTAAATTAAAACAATCAGATCACCACTGAAAAACACACACAAGAACTTCAGGCCTAGACTTAGGCATAGTGACATCAAGTTTAAAGTGTAACTATGGCATTAAGAATTCAACAGTATTTCTTCATTAGAGCTTTTCTTCTTTTGTTCTGGGCGAGTGGCATGGAAGAGAAGCTGAAGGTATTAAAAGGAACAAAACTAACATAATTTTACGTAGAGTTACGGAGAACACTTTGGGTTGTTCTTAACAGTATTAATATGCCTTCTCACTTGAGAAAAAGAAAACTCATGAAACCTAACACAATTTGGTAAGGTCCAAAATGGAAGGATTCATTATACTTACTGGTACTTTTCCATTTGGCAAAATGGGAGAAAAGTGGTTAACACAATAAAAATCATACCTAAGAGAGATGTCTCCTTGGCAAATGCTGCAGCAATAGCTGGGTCCAATGCAGGTTGTCCATCCCCAGACGGAAGATCAGGTCGAGTATAATCCCTACTTTTATCATTGTTGTATTTTACATTCAAATTCACAAGTTTGGAAAAATCAATCCTTAGGGTACAGCAGGCATTATAAATATTCTGACCATCTAGGGCCTGTAAAAGTGAATAAAGTACATCAGCAATCTTAAACAAAAAATAAAAATTAGTGAAAGTATAATTTTAATAAAATTCAGCAACAAAAACTCGAACTTAAAAGCTACCAGGAAAAGGATTCCAATTTCATACATCAAATTTTGCTATTCCAGCTGTCCATGTATTAGTTTCCCCCAAATATTATCTTCTTTAAATAGAAAATGCTACTTCAACATAAAATACAATCAGCTAAGCATCCATGCTAATACTTTTAATTGTAAAAAATTGCAAATAGGTTAATTTAATAAAAAAACTAATAAGGATCACAAACAGGAAGTCCTGCAAAGTAGTGCCACACTACTCTGCTCAATAAGGTTAATTTTATTATACATATATTTATTGCTGGATGGCAGTACTTTGATGATTCAGTACAGTTTTATAAGGTAACTGCTATTTGATGCCACATTGTACAAAGCTGCTTCAAACCAAATTATCCTAACACATAATAGCAATTCCCATAAAATGAGGCAAAAAAGAAAAAACTATTTTCCTTAACCTGAAATGTTCACCCCCAATCAGACTGTCTTGATGAAATTAGTAAATCCAATGTCATTCCAGAAAAGTTCTGAAACTGACAAGTGCCAGGTCTAGGATTAATTAAAAGCCTAGAGTCTTTTAGGTCACCTTAAGCAAGTTGTTTAACCTCTCTGAATCTCAGTTTCTTAATTGGGAAAACAGGAATGATGACAATGGCTGTCATGGTTCTTCACAGGGTTATTATGAGGAGTAAACTAAAGACCACATATGTGAAAATACAACATAAAGGACTATGTTACTGCTACGATTATCTTGTATTTTTTCTGCTCCTATATAATCACCATTTGTAGTTCAGCTGGATAGAAGCTGGAAACAAACTAGAAAACAGGTGAACATACTGTTAACTTCTCATTAAAAGAATAAACATGTCGTGTTATGGAAAAAGTAAACCTCTACAGTTAGCTTAAGTATATAAAGCTTTTAATTCAAATATTCTCACCTCTGGGAATATAAAACCTTTTCTCTTAATACACGAATTTTTTACGTGACTAATTTACCTAGCTAAAAACTAACCTAGAAAATAATTCAACACAGGTTCATCCACTTCAATACAGCACTGGTAAAAACTCAAAGGGACTTCATACATATCAGGATTTGAACTACATTTGGGTTAGGCAAGGTACCTATCATCACATAAAAGTGGAAGCCATGTATCAACTTTATCAGCCAGAATAACATAACTATTAATTCAACACCCTGGTGTAAAGGCAAACAAAGCACTGAAGATAGGTATTAATTTACTAATGTAGCATTCCTATAGGGAAAATGTAAGATAAGTAATAGAATTGACATTTCTACACAACAGGTAAGTATCAAAAGGAGTAGCAAAATTCACTCTTAGGTGACTACTTCAATGTTATCAAAGAGAAAATGATACCTTATGAGAAAAGATCTGGCTTTGAGTCACAGTATCTAGGTTAATGCTAAAAGTGCTGATACAAAATTACTAAACCCACACTATGTTTTTTAGGAGCTGAATTCTTTCCCAGCAATACTGAGGGCGACTGCCAAATTATCTAACAATTAATATGCCCATTGTTAGAAAGCCCTCCAGGAACCTTTGAAGTTTTCTCCCTTTGAACATTAAAACAAAAACAAAAACATAAACTTTATGTAGGTGGAAAATACACAAGTATACCTAAGGTACAAGAGCTAGAGAAATAAGCAAACAAGATGTAAATTAATCATCTGTTAGCAAAAGAGGAAAGAAATAGGAGTTGAGGATGCATGAGAACAAAAATCCAGGTATTTTAAATAGTTGACTAAAGTAGGTGACCACAAACAAGAAAGGGAGTAAAATCAAATTTAAAAAACATATGCAAGCTCACTTCAAGCTCATGTATTTGCAAAATCCCAAGAAAAGCAGTAGCACACAAACCAGTCCTGTGGTTCAGCAATCAGGAATGCGGTGATCTTGTTGGAGTTAAGATTTCTGACAGTAAAAGCTCAAGACAATTTGCAGAAAGACCTTCCAAATGTGCCTACTCACAGTGAAAGTTTAGACAGTAAGCAAAAACAATCAGAAAAAAAATTTTCATGTAAATTTGAAGTTTATGGCTAAAACATGGAAATCAAAACACAGGAAAGATATTAGGCAAAGAAAGCATAATTATAGCAGCACAAAGAAACATTGCATATGGACTAAAAACATGAAAAGCCACAATAAAACTATTTCCATTTTTCAGAATGTTTACTATTTATAACTTACTTTTTTGAAGAGATTGTTGGGGATCAGATTTAGCACACGATGAGAGAAACCATAACTTCCAAATTCTTTAAATATCTACTTTTTAATTTTTGGCAAGTCATGAAAAATTATCAAAATCAACAACACAAAATTAAGCTTATACTACTAATGTAATATTTCAGACTAATTATTTACCACTATCAACTCCACCCTGGTAGATTATGCAGGATTTTCCTAAAGCATCCTAAAACCACTGATTTCATCATAAATTCTCCATTAATATGAATGTAAAATATACAGATTGTAAATTAAGCAGATGTCAAGCAGAATCTTTGCCCAAGATATTAGGAAAGGACAATCCATTAGGTCTCTCAAAGAATCTGCATAAAGCAATGTGTACTCTGCGAGAAGGAAATGAATGACACAATCTTACTTTCACAAATGTTTTACCTCATATTTATTTTTATTATTAGTGATGAAATGGAATCTCCTGGAAGAAATAAATAATAAGAAACAACCCACTTATACGTTAAAATAAAATGATCATATAAACAGGACTTCCAGAAGACACAATATCACTGTCCAGTGTCAACTAGATATTCCTAATAAACACATAATGTTTCCGAAAAGCTGTTTCTAATAACAAAAACCAAAAAGAACCATTTCCTACTCATGTGTGTTATAATGTAAGGACTATGTAAAACAATTTTTAAATCCCAGGTGAAAAGGAGATTACATTAGCTGTCTTATTATACTGTTAAAAAGACTGGTATTTTTATGCGTCAAGTAATTATATTCCTCAACATTACAAAAGCTGAATTAGAATGCCAAGAAGGCACATCTTTGCCTAATACACTACTTTCCAATAAATAAACAAGATTTTCTAAAAGGTATTAAGGTGTTTCCTTTAATAAATATGAGGATCGAATAAAATACTTTTTATAGATAATTACGATTGTTACTATGACTTCTGATTTTCACCCTAAATGTCAATGCTTAATACAGCAGAGAATAAAGCAGACATGGTACTCAGAACTTACAGTCCAACAGAAAATATACACATTTAACAAATTAAAAATTGTATGTGTGGCACTGATAACTAAGAAAGGAAGGGATCTAATCTAGTGGAAATGTTACAGAAGACTTCTCTCAGAAAGAGACTTCTAAACTGATACTTGAAAGACAAAGAGAAGCAGAAGTTGGGCATAAAGAGATGAAGAGAAAAAAATAGTATTAGCAAATGGAACAGCAATCTGTAAGATCAAGACATCAGAGAAAATACAGTGTATGCAAGCTATTTAAAGAACTCCAACATAGCTAAAAAGGCATGAGAGGAGAATGGAGAGGCAAGCTGAGGATTGATTTAGAGTTTTATAAGCCATGATCCATGATAAGAACTGTGGACTTCATCACAAGGACAAAAAAGTCACTAAAGGGTATTGTGATTAGAAGCAATATGACTTGAGGATGATATCATTCTTAGTACTCTGTGGAAAAATAATGGAGGCAGAGGAAGATGTCAAAATGGTGAGTTCAGTCAGAAGGCCAAGGAAGTAGAGACATAAAAGAGAACTATTACTACATCAATGCTACTCAAATCATGATTCACGGTCCAGCAGCCCAGGCCACTTCGCATGAATAGAAGTCTGTGTCAAAATTTACGTCAATATCAACATTAAGTATACTGTTTGCTAGAAGTATGCTGATTTCAGTGTGACATACACTGACTACCTTGAGAGACCAGCATCTTGAATAACACTGGCTTAGACTGCAGTGGCAGCAAAAGAGTTGGAGAAAAAAGGCCAGATTCAACAAAAATTTAGGAGGTATAATCAATAATATCTAATGATAGGCTGGAAGGAAGGGGAAAAATACCATGTTTTCTGGCTTGTTAATGAGACTGAAGTTGGTATCTTGCACTTTACTAACAGTAGACACCAAAAACAGGAGCTGGATTGAACACACTAAGTTTGAAGATAATCATTAGACTGCCAGGTTCTTAGTGTGGGTCTCTTAGGAAAGGTCTGAGCTAGAAAATGTGATGTGAACACTGTCTGAATCACAGAGGTTTAACGGAGCTGTGAGAGCAGGTGAGGCCTCCCAGGTAGAAGGGGAGTGACATGACAAGGAAGAAACAGTCAGAGGGGTAGGATAAATCTAGGTGAGAAGTATCAGAGACCAGGAAGAAAGAGAATTTTAAGATAATGGTGCACAGTGTCAAATATTATCTAGATATTAAGTAAGACAAGGACTGAATCATACCACTAGCATTTAGCTACTCTAATAATCACTGGTGGCACTGGGGAAGAGTAATTTGGGTCAACAGTGCTAAAACCAAATTATAGTAAGTAGAGAAATGAGAATAAACAACAAGGATAGCCTACTTAAGAAGTCATGAGTGAAAAGGGAGAGGGGAGGCAGGGTGATAGAAAGTAGAGTTATAGATGGATGGATTGAAAGTTGAAGGTAAATTCATTTAAAATGAAAGAGGCTGAGAATACTTGAAACTGGTGAAAAGTGGCCAACATAGAGAGAAACAAATGAGAAAGAGGGGATGACAGACAGTGCAGTCTCTTGAGAGGCAGAAGACGATAGGCTTTGGTGTTTATTGGTCTTAGACAACTAAACATCTATGCCTTTTATTAGAAGAGAAAGACAAGTGTGAGTATTAGCAGATTTTGCAAGAAAAACTGATGAGGCTTCCATGTGATTTTCTTCTTCAAGCAAGTGAGAGTGACGAGAGATATGGTAGAAGGGAAAATTTCTATCTGATAGAGGCATTGTGAAAAACAGAAAAACTGTTGACTGAAGAAATGTGAGGAGATTTTTAAACTAGAGTAGGGGGCTTCTTTGTAGTTGATGCTGATGGATTTAAACTGGTACCAATAGTCAGATTATGTTATTATGTGATATTCTCTAGGTAAAGCCCAGATGTAGGCATGTAAAATGAACATTACTGTAGTTATCAAAAATGTAAATTTTACCAAAGGGTCTAGATTACAAGGTAATGGGGCAAAGCAAGTTTAGGAAACAAATTTATTTTTCCTTCTCTAATAAGTGAAGTGTGAGTTCTGATACCAGAATAAGTACTTAATAAAACAATTATCTACTGTCTTAGAATTATAACTTTAGATCTTTGTCAAGAAGACCTGAGTGCATAACTGTGCACAAACATCAATATTATAGTTGGATGCTTAGTATCTGTTCACAGAAGATTAAACGAAAATTGCAAACAGTTGACATTGAGGTACTTTTATGAGATTAAATGTAATCATGTATTACTTCAGACAAGATACACATATAAACTATTTTCCCCGTAAGAATTATAGCTCAAATACAGTATAATCCCCAAATTTCATTTAATTGGTCCTTTAACAAATACTTTTCTTTGAGGTCAGAAGAGCAAGGAAAATATTCCACACCAAGAAAAATGTAGACTATATTTAAATGTTTGAAGTTGTGAAAAATGTCACAGAAACCATGATTTCTAGATTGTCTCCTAATCATAAAACCTCATACCACATTGATTTTGGTAGCCAGGGCATGTGAAAGGAGGATAATCATTTTTTGGAAAAAAAAGAATTCTAATTGTCAACCTATGTCTGAAGAGGAAAGCATAATAAGATTAGATTATACCTGAGAACCAGTGAGGAGCAGCATAATGAAAGAAAGGCTGAGACTGAAAAAACGTCTACCTTATAGGTAGTGTTCATTATAAGTAATTCACCTTTAAAACTTAGCATCCTCTTGTAACAAAGGGGAAACCCCTGTTTTGCTGATAACATAGAGTAGTGGTCAGAAAAAATGAGACTATAGCACTTGGTAAACTATTACAATTATGCTATTATTACTTGTATAGCCTTTCTGCTACCTACAACTAATTTTGCTCCAGAAATGAGGTTGTGAGGATGCAAATGCAATGAAACAATTATAAAAAATGGTCTGGGCTCCACAGAAGTAATCTTGATCTGGAAGAAGCATTTAAGTATTAGAGAGAATAATTAATCTGAAAGTAAAAGAACGAACGAACGAAAGAAAACCAGTTAAGACAAATGTAAGCTTATTAAATGGTTTCATAATAATGGCTTAATAATGAATTTTTAATGGCTTAATAACGGAATAGTAATAATAATGAGATACTATGGACAAAAAGTTAAAGAGACAGAGCAAAAGTAGATTTCAGATATACAAACAGAAGATTAAGGTGCTTGGAAGCAAAGATGTGGTTTGCAGTTTTCAGTGGCAGCCTTGACAGGAAATTTTACATTTCTCAATGACCTCACATCCTCCATAAATAACAATGACAAAAAAGATAAATGATATAAATAAAAAGTGACTAGAAACCTATTCATAAAATCTTTAAAAAAAAAGACATTAAATATATAATTTTAAATAAACTGAGAGCCTATCATAGCATTTGAGCCACATCTGAGTATTTCAGCCAAACTCTCTTGAAAACTAATTACTTTGAAATTCCCACTAAAAGCTACTTCAAATTTTATGCAGGTGCACATCCCCAACATAGTCCTGCTTTTTTCTTGAGAGTACAAACTTGTGTCCTTAAATTAAAAAAAAAAAAAAAAAGAAAGTAAAATAATAGAAGCCTACATTATGGTTAACTACAACTATGATTTTCCTAAAAATAAATATTTCTTTTTTATGACAAATATTAAGGTTTCTTAATATTATTTTAATGCTATCAATTTCTACTATCTATACTGCAAGATATCATTAAGTATATACATATACATTTCAATTTTAAAAAATCACTATCTCAAAAGAAAGACTTACTAGTTTTGCTTGTTGAGCATTTACTGGATCACCATACTGGAGCAAAGCTTGAAACTGGTTGTTTTTTGTAAATGTGATTATCTTCAAAACAGCACCAAACTTAGAAAATATCTGTTAAAACATTAAAAATAAAACGTTACTTATTTACTATATTATTATTTCTCTAATTTATAGGTAATTAAGCAGATTAAACTTACTTGGTGAAGAACATCAAGTGTTACAGGGTAGTACATGTTGTCAATAATTATTCTAAGTACTGGACTCTGGGCTGGAGTCACTGCACTCTCGCTAACTGTGGTGCCACTAAGAGGAGTATTTGCTGTCTGGACAGCTGTCACAGCTTGAAGAACTGCTTGAGCACGCTGGAAATCAATATTATGTAGTTTAGAAACATACCCACTATTGTCACATACTTTGCTACCTGTTACACTACTAGTTCACTTTGTTCCTAGAACTTACACAGATTAAACAACATTTAATGGCCACCCAACAAATATTTTTAAGCACCTGCCATGAGCCAGGTACTACCTGTTTAATAAATCAAATATTCTACTAGTATTTCATTCAAAAAAATTATCCAGGCTTTGAATCAATGTTGAACAAGCAAAGACATGATATATAATTTATTCTCAAAAAACAAGATGTAGTTTTACAGACACATGTATCATCAGAAAATGTTTTAAACAGAAATCTAGAGAACAAAAAAACTTTAACATTAATCACTCCATAAAACAGTTACATTGTAAATCTCAACAAGGGGGTTACTGAATTATCCAAGAGAACTCCCATAAAGCTTATTATTTCTAATAAATGTATGCGCAGAAAATACATTTTTCATACTACACTTAACTTCTGATACCAAAATTTTTAGAATAGAAATCGATGTGTAGTCCAGTCCAAAACCAAAAAATTCTCAGGTAAACTTCAAGATATTATATGAAGGATATTTCCCATACATTTTACGGTATCAAATACACCATCAATTATAAAATGCACTATTGTTTTAAGTATGACTAATAGATGTTGCCAATTAAACTATGGAAGATAGACTACTGTAGGACACATCAAATTTCTGAGATTTTAAAATGTGAAAAAATATAACCATAAAATTGAATAAACATAGTATTTGTAGGAAATCTTCCAATCAAATATTATGTTAAATGCTCCCTCCAAAAGACTGCCTTTATTACTATTATCCCTTTCCTATTATTATTATGACAGAGTCTATGATACGGACATAATTTCTTTCTACCTTATCTGTGGTCAAAAAACAACAAAGGCAAATAGTTCTAAAGTATAACAATGACAAATACCACAAATACTTATACATAGCTTTACAGTTTGAAAAATCTACATTAACAGTTAATGAAAGAGAATACAAAAGAATTAAGATACTTAGGAGAATAAACAAGAACAGTCATTTTACTAAAATATTATATAATCACAGATCACATGGCTTGAGAGTCCAGATACATATCTACACAATCATTTAAATGTTACTTAATTTTATCTATAAATTTATATATTAGCCAAAATGACTTACTAAAACCCAACATTTTGAAATGTAATAGATTATTTATTTTAGTAGACATCTTGATACTATTATTGAAAAACTAACTGTAAATTGGTAAAATTAGATTTATAGAGCAGTACCTATTCAAATGTTTAAATATATTTAAATATTTTAAGTAGCTCATTGCAATATTATCTTCATTAGTGAACATGTTCTTATGGTATTTACCTGTAATAACAAGCATAGACTACCACAACTTAGAAAAACACTAACATCTACTGCTTCAAATAATAAAATGTGTTTTTTAAAATAGGAATCCATGATCATGGTATAAAAGTGGTGTAAAAGATTAAAAATTCCGCTGCAACTCTGTCATCCATTCTATTTTCCCCTACCAACCCCTTACAGTATTATCTTAGGTATCCTTCCAGAGATACTAGCTACATCTACAAGCATATATATATACACAAATATTATACTTATTCCATACTTTTTTTCCCAATACTATTCATATTTTATTCAATACTATTCATACTTTTTAATTCAATACTATTCATACTTTTATTTAACACTATTCATTGTTCTCTATCTTCCTTTTATGGCTTAACAATCATGTTCTCCCACACCAGTAACAAATTACTTCATACATTTCTTTATGATTTCATTTTTTTAAAGACTTCATATATTTTTTCTTATAATTCATGGAGCAGAGTTGGCTTGCCAACGTAGATTTTAAGAAAACTTCTTACCAAAATATTACACACACACAGAAAAGGACACAAAACCTAAGTATAAAGCTCCATAAAATACCACAAATTGGACATCTCTGTGAAATAACTACCCAGATAAAAAACGACATATTATCAACACTCTGTAAGCCATACTCATGCTTCCTCCATGTTACAAAAATGGAATCGTATCAGATGTATTCTACTTAAGTTTGGCTTCTTTCAGTAATGATGATGTACACTACCCATGTTCTGCACGTAGCAGTAGCTTGTCCATTTTATTTACCATACAATATTCCGACCGGGCATGGTGGCTCACGCCTGTAATCCCAGCACTCTGGGAGGCCGAGGTGGGTGGATCACCTGAGGTCAGGAGTTCGAGACCAGCCTGACCAACATAGAGAAACCCCGTCTTTACTAAAAATACAAAATTAGCCTGGCATGGTGGTGCATGCCTGTAATCCCAGCTACTCGGGAGGCTGAGGCAGGAGAATCGCTTGCACCTGGGAGGCAGAGGTTGCGGTGAGCTGAGATCACGCCATTGCACTCCAACCTAGGCTTGAAACTCCATCTCAAAAAAAAAAAAAAAAAAAGGCAATATTCCACTAAATGAATACACCACAACATATTCTGCTGCTGATGAACATTTGGATCACTTATAGTTTTTTGGACTACTACAGTGTTCCATGAATTTTCTTGGACATATCTTTTAACATACATATGTATGTATTCTCAGGTATGTTAACTAGGAGCGAGTTTACTCCTCCTAGGAGTAAACTTTGAGTTTATGTCAAAGAATAGTATATGCTCAACTTTAGTAGATATTCCAAGTTTTCAAAACTGGCTGTCACCAATATTTTATTACCTATCCTTTTAATTTTAGTCACTCTGGTTATGTGCATAGCGGTATCTCATTTGGAGTTAAGGCTCTCAATCCAAACCTAATCTACTCTTTGCTTATCAGGGGATAGCTTTTAGGGGAAGTAATAGCTAAAGGGAGACCTCAAGATATTTAACACTGGTCATGTGAAGTGTGAGGTGGAGGAAGGTTGGTGCAAAAGGCAGGCCAACCCACAATATTCCATGCATGAGGGCAGTGACATAATGGCAGCAAACAACTAACATCAGGAGAAAGCATGCCAGGTTACAGGATACACCATTACTTTTGGGACAGAAGCATAAGCAAATAGGGTGGAAGTAGAACAGAGGACAAAAAGCACTAATCTCAGAAAAGGCCTTTACCCTGAGCATGAACAGGACCTACTGCATGGGAGTAACTTAGATATGTGCATTTGAGAAAGATACGCACTGGCTGTACTAGGCAGAAGAAATTCCAAGAGGGAAAAGAAAAAGAAAGTAGTTTATAAAGATAACTGTTGTAGTAATATAGCCAACAGATGAGTGTGTTTGAGCAATACAAGTAGCAGGAAAGATGGAGAAAACCAGGCAGATAATTAAAAAGTATGAACTAATAGGACCCGGTGATTTCAAGAAGGGATGTGGAAGAATTCATGGTTAATGCATACCCATTTGCATGTCTTCTATTATGAAACCCTATTAAAATGCCTAGAAGTGAATGAATATAAAATAAACAAACACTGAAGGGAGGGAAGGTCATCATTAGCTGAGAATAATTTTATCAAATTCCTGGAACACAGAAAATGAATGGAACCAAATAGACTGGAGACACAGTGAACACACAGCAAACAGGAGTTATATTGGTAGCAGTCACAGGAACCAAATTAGAAATTGGCAGGTTCACAGGAGGAGGGAGTGCGTGAAAAATGGATGAACAGAAAGTCTAGTTCATTAACAAAGAGCTAAATTTCTCTTCTCCCTCCTCTGACCAACTTGTACCCTCACCATCAAACAACAACAACAAAAAAAACCTCTCTCTTAAAGGCACCAGAATTTCCTTCTTTCTTTATTTCTTTTTTTTTTTAAGAGACTGGGTCTCATTTTGATGCCGAGGCTGGAGTGCAGTGGTGTGACCAGTTCACTGCTGCCCCGAACTTACCTCAGTCTCTCAAAGTGCTGGGATTACACGCACGAGCCTAAGTGCCCCCCTGCTGGTACCAGAAATTCTAAAGGGAGTTTTGTGACCCAGAATAAGAGCTCTTTGGTATTTGGGGGGGGATGGGAGTAACAGCTTGGTAGACACTCTTCATTACTTTATCCTAGAGGAAAGCAGACAACTTTAACAAAATATAATTGTCCATTCTGAAATATGAAGAGACAACAAACGGGGGATGAAGAGAGTGAGAACAAGATAAACATAAATGCTAACACTGAAAAAATAACTCAGCAGAGAGTGATATATTTTTTAAATACTGTAATTAGTATCCTCAAAGTACTGCTGTCACAAGACATAACTGACTACAAAAAAAAAGATGACCAAAGGAGATTGAAGGGCTTTAGAAAATGAAAAATAAAATTGTAAAAGCATTTTTTTCAACAGAAGAACTTTGCACTGATTATTCCTTCTGTCTGAAGTAAGTGGCTTATTCCCTAACCACTTTGAAGATCATTATTCAAATATCCCCTCTCAATGGGGCTTCCAACGGTCATCCTAAGTCCCCCTCCTCCACATCCATGCGTAGGCGCCAGCTTTGTTCTTTTTTTTGGCAGAGTCTCGCTCTGTCACCCAGGCCGGAGTGCAGTGGCGCATCTGGGATCACTGCAAGCTCCGCCTCCCAGGTTCAAGCAACTCTCTCTGCCTCAGCCTCCGAGTATCTGGGATTACAGACATCTGGCACCATGCCCAGCTAAATTTTTTTTCTTTCCTTTTTGTATTTTTAGTAGAGACAGGGTTTCGCCATGTTGGTCGGGGGGGGGGGGGGTCTTGAACTCCTGACCTCAGGTAATCCGTCCGCCTCAGCCTCCCCAAGTGCTAGGATTACTGGTGTGAGCCACCAAGCCTAGTCCCCAGCTTTATTCTTTACGTGTTCCTTTTGTTTAATCTTTTAACATGAGAATGTGCTTGCAAATTACTTAAATAATAATGAAATAGAAATGGGACATTAAATGCCATTTTAAGAGGACACTGTGTGCGCTAAGGGAATAAGGAATAAGCCAAAGAAAGAAAGACAAACGACACATTATCTCACTTACATATGGAATCTAAAAAAGCAGAACTCACATCAGTAGAGAGTAGAAAGATAGTCACCAGAAGCTGGCGGAGGGAGGAATGAACAGGGAAAGGGGAGATGATGGTCAAAGTACAAAGTTTCAGACAGGAAGAATGGTTCTGGTGATCTACTGTACAGCATGGCAACTACTGTAATGCATAATATTGTATGCTAATGAGTTGACTGATGGCTGGCAGCCCCACTTCAGGATGGGGACTGGTCACCTGAAAGACCAAGGCATGATTAGAGGCTTATTATCCTTTGTACTATCCTATACAATAAACTAGTAAATCTCAGTAAATGTTTCCTTGAGTTCTCTGTGCTGCCCTAGCAAATTAACGAAATCCAAAAAGGGGGCTGTGGGAACCCTAACTTAAAGCTGGTCAATCAGAAGTTCCAGAGGCCTGACTTGCTGGTGTCTGAGGACATCTTGTGGGACTGAGCCCTCAACCTGTGGGATCTGATGCTATCTCCTGGCAGATAGTGTTGAAACTGAGCTAAGTTGGAGAACACTGTAGACCTGACTGCTTGCTTGCTATGCGGAAAAAAAATTCCCTCACATTTCTGGCCGCAGAAGCCTTCTGTGTTGATTGTTGTGGTGTGAGCAGAGGAAAAACAGTTTTTCCACATTCCACTGTATACTAAAGGAATTTTAAATGTTCTTACCATAAAGAAATTGTAAGTATTGGAAATGATGAGCATGTTAACTAGCCATATTTGGTCATTCCACTATATATATGTATTAAAACATCACCTTGAACACCGTTAAGTATATACTATTGTTTGTTAAAAATAAGTTAAAAATGCAAAAAAAAATCTAAGTAAAAAGAAAGAACAGCAGATATTTTCTTTTGGTATTCTTCCTCTTGATAATTATTAGAAGCGTACATTCTTTTTCAAAAGAAATTAAAAATTCATCATCAAATTAAAAAAACAGCTGAAATTTCAGTCCTATCTTTTAGGTAAAAAGTTTTACAAGCTTATTTTTCATAAACTATCTAAACCATTTTGTCACTTTGTAAAGTGACAAAAATCTATGAGGAATAGTTTTCCGTTACATTTCTATTAAGAAAAAGTCTGTATTTTACTGACAGAGAAAGATATCATTAGTTTTAAAACTATGTTAAAACAGCGAAAGTTTTAGATAATTACAGCAGTCTTATAATGTAGGTCAGAAAACATTCTAATGCTATTTTTAAATACATTAATTTTAAATAATATCTTCTACATTACATTTTTAAAACATCAATACATTCATATATTCTTCATCCTTAAGATTTCTTTTCCAGGAAAACCATTAACATATCTTCAAAAATTTTTTTCCATAAGAAATTAAAACTTATAAAAAAAGTCAAATAACCAAAGGCACTGAACTTCATACCTTAAATTCTAAGCAGGAGAGTCGTATAAATAGTTTATGCTAATAACAAATCCTACCTGATAAGCTTCTCCACAAAAATTTTAACTTGCAACAAGAAAAAGAACATTTGATCAGGGGTTTAAAGAAATTCAAAATGACATAGTATTTAATACTCAGAAACATTCTGCATGAAAATACCTTAAAAATAACAAGAAAATGCCTATAAGGAACATCTGAACAGGTAAACATTTCCTTCCTATTAATGTTTATGAGATTCATAATATGTTCTAGGCCATTTTATTTATGCACCTACACATACTTACTTGGTTTAATGTATTATCTGTCTTTAGTTCTTTGTGATTCGAGTACTGGATATATATCGGTTGGTTACGAAGATGAGGTGTCACGGCAGAATAGTAATTAACCATAGTAATAGCTGCTTCCTCGGTTGCTAGTTCCAAAAATGCCTGAAAATTTAAGTAGCACAATTTTTAATACTATAAATTCAAATAAAATTAATATCTGAGCAATCTATTCAGCTGATTTTAATCAATTATCTAGAATATAATCTTTCAAGTTACTTTTAAATAAGTAGAATTAGAAATCTCTTGTTGAAGTTTAGGTATACAGTTAAAGCTAACCTCAGAAGAAAGTTAGAACTGAGTACATGCTGCTTCTACCTTCCACCTATGATTTTTCACACCCACAAATCTATTCCCACAGCAAATGCTAGAGAAAATGTAAATATTTTCTAGCATCAGAATTTTACCACTTCTACCCTAGAGAATATATGATTTCCAAGTCATTTAAAAAGCAGTATAATTATACAGATACAAAGAAAAACATTACAAATTAAATGACAGATTAACATTAAGTATATAAAAGGGAGTGTTAAATTTCATAAATTATTCTAAATGGCATCATTTAATATTTTTAAATAAAATTGCATATTCTCATAAAGTAAGCTTAAGGAAAGATGCGACTAGTACTTCTACTGATTTCTGATATCCAAGACAGAGCCACAGTAAAAGAAATACTTCATTTGTATTTTCCACAATTTCATAACAATTACTCAATTACAGCCCTAAAGTGAATTCAAAAGGCAAAGTTTAAAAACTACAGTGATTCATTCAGTTTGGCTACCTAGCATTAGTTTCCCACAGATACCTACTTGAAAAACTGAGAATACGACTTCTGTTCTTTAAGAAAAATAACCTACTATTTTCTCCCTTTTACAATTAATTCACACCTGCTGGATAGTTTGGGGTTTAACATTTCATAAACCCCAAAAAAAGTGTACCTGATTTTTTCCTTTCAGCATAAGGATGTTGGTCACCTTACCAAAAGGTAAGCCTAAAGCAATAACTTCAGTTTCTGTTACTTCCCCAGGTAATTTTCGAATATGAAGTACACGAGAAGGAGCACCATCCATTTTATCTTCTCCTTTAAATTTTTTACTATCATTACCATTGGCTGAAAGACATTAAAAAATAGTCTTTATATATCAACAATAAAAGAATGTATGAATCTTCCTATTTATGTAAAAAACTACAAATTTCCAAAAAGAACTTAAAAACGTATCTGAGAATACTTAAATAATTCTTAAAAATTCAAATGCTAGGCTTTCAAAGGAATAAAATCCCATCCACCTATTATTAAATGAAATTATCAATTAGTTAAGATTGCTGTTAATGTGTTTCTCAACAGTATTATAAAGAGTAATTATTAATAACAACAACATTAAAATGTAATCTCATAAAGAAACTGTCCAATGACTAAAGAATACAATCACAGTCACGTGCCACATTAACTACATTTTGGTCATTGACAGGCCACATATACAATGGTGGTCCCATAAGATTATAATACCGTATTTTTATTGTACCTTTTCTGTTTAGAAACATCAATACTTACTACTGTGTTACAACTGCCTCCAGTATTCAGAACAGTAACATGCTATACAAGTTGGTTGCCTAGGAGCAAAAGGCTACATATACCATATAGCCTACATGGGTAGCATGTTTGTGTAAATGTACTCTATGACATTTACGCAGTGACAAAATTACCTAACAATGCATTTCCCGGAGGGTATCCCCATCACTATCTCCAAGATTTATGACTGTATCTTGTAATTTAATCATCTTATAATGAACTAATATGAATATTTTTAAAAGTGAAAAAACTAGGTTGACAAAAATTAGGAAGATAATTTTACCTGAGAAATGATAAATTGTTCAATTTGAAAAACGTACTTGAATGTGGGATCAAAGAATGTAAAGTTTACAAAACTGATAATGCAGTCAATCCAATTATGGCTTATCTACAATGAGCTTCTTCTAATATATTACTATTACCATCTAAACTACCTAATATTTTGTGACTATTAAGATCAATATACTCTAAATCACTCATGAACTTAATTATCTTATTCTATTACCATGAAATTTAAAGTAATATAATTTAATCAACAAATTAGTTAACGGCCTTCATTCCAAATCTTCACCAAAAAATAAAAACATTATTCAAAATGCCTATAAAATAGGTAATATTTAAATAGAGTTGTTTGAAGGACTTGCAATCTACTATGCCAAATCAATGGTTCTCAATCTTTTAGGATCTCAAGGATATTTCTGAGACTGTAGCTAAAATGAAGGATCTTGACACATTCAGAAATATACATGTATACTCCATTTTGTATAAACCTTTAGGTAATTTATAGTATTTCCCAAAACATTCAACACAACCTATAAACAATATAATGTGTTTGTATATGTTCAACAATATCTGTAAGACTGTAAGATTATCTTGGTCTCCAAAGTGTCTTCAAAATTAATTCACTCATTAATTCCTTAAACATTTACTGGGTATTCAGGGATGTGTCTAGCAACGTTTTATGTTCTGAGGGTACAGCAGAGTGAACAAAACGATTATGATTCCTGATACCTTATAGTGGGGAGCTGGACTAACTAGTACCTGAACCAGATACTTTCTATGGTATGTGCTATGAAGTAAAACAGTGATGTGCTTAAAAGTGACTTTGTCTAGGACTGGAAGATGATGGTAGTAATGATTTTACTGGATGACCAGACAAGGTATCTCTAAGAGACAATATATGGACTCAAGCTATACTTAAGTCGTATTTTACTGTAGGAGTTTCACTTAGGTTTATATACTTGAACAGCTAGCCAATGCATTTAAAAATTCCCTTAGGTTGTCTTTGTACAGAAGAGTAAGCTCTGGCTTCTGAACTCATATTACCCTGAAAATCTTGGCTGGCTAGCTCTTCACCACTCCAGAAATATGAAAAAACTACAGGAAGCTGGCCGGGGTGCGGTGGCTCACGCCTGTAATCCCAGCACTTTGGGAGGCGGAGGGGGATCACGAGGTCAGGCGATCGACACCATCCTGGCTAACACAGTGAAACCCCCGTCTCTACTAAAAAAAAATACAAAAAATTAGCTGGGCGTGGTGACAGGTGCCTGTAGTCCCAGCTACTCGGGAGGCTGAGGCAGGAGAATGGCGTGAACCTGGGAGGCAAAGCTTGCAGTGAGCGGAGGTCGCGCCACCGCACTCCAGCCTGGGCAACAGAGCGAGACTCCGTCTCAAAAGAAAAAAACTACAGGAAGCTATCCCACATCCTTTCACTACTGACAAAGATTTGTGTGTGCACAGGGCACCTGAATTTGTCAAAAGGAAGAGACTAAACTTTGCATTCTGTAGTATCTTATCTAACAAAATCATCTCGAGGCCAGTTAACAGAAAATGTAAGCTAAAGCACAGAATCCAAAAAATATGCATATACTTTAAAACATGTAATTGGCACACACAACAACTGGCATCAGTCAACAAGGAACACATATTCTTCTGATACAGGACTAAGACCTTTTTTTGACAAAGCAGTCTGAATACTGAAACTTGATAATCTGTTCTCGTTCATTAGTTTGAATAACAAGAACAAATACTTCACAATCCAACCTAAAGCCCCATGTGTTATAGGTTATGGTATCACGATACTCAAAAGTAAATTTCAGTTTCTCCTAATTTGGTCTGTCCTTTTCCTTCTGGGAGAAAGACAAGGAAAAAAAAACACCAATAAAGATACTACCTATCGCTGTACCCATAAGGAGAAAAAAGGCTTCCCCTTTCAAATGATTTTCCAAAAATAATTCCCAAAAGGCAAAAGCCTGCCTAAACCTATTATTATGGAAATTAAATAATTTACTTTGGATTTGTATTGGATGTTTTCTGGACAGCGGATGTTGAGCAGAAGTACAACAGCTGAATAACACAGAAAGAAGGTAGGAAACTTTTGAGAATCAAAGGATAAGACAAAGATCTTGACGTCTTAGAAAAATACAGAAAAGACATAATTTTATTTTGCATCAATATTTAACATTCACTGCTAATTAACTACATGCCAAGCAATTTATAACTCTCAGATTGCTATCATCACGACCTGTCAATCCCATTTACAGGTAACAATTAGTTAAATGCCCAAGATTAGATAGTTACTAAGTGGTACAGACAAGAGGTAGTAGAGAGAGGATTAAACTCAGGGAGTATGATTCCTAGTCTGTGCTCTTAAACAACTACACTATAGAAGGAACTCAAATACAAACTTTACATTACATACAGGTTGCCTAAAAAAGATCTGTCCTTTTCTCCCAAAGACCAAGCCAGTTATTGTAGTAAACGATCAACATTTACACCACCTGACACTCCCTCAGTTAGTTAATAGCTTCCAGAGGGTGACTACTAAGTATTCCTATCTTAGTGCCAAATATTATAAAAGTCTTCATTTTAAATAAATGATACTATGAGAATGTGGGAATGGGGACTCCTTTAATAATATAACAAAGCCTATTTTCAAATATAAAAACACTCCAGCAACACTGAAAAAGGGCCCAAAATTTTGTGGTTCACAACTTACAAAGCATTAGGTCTGCCTGTGTTACAGTTCTACAGTTCTTCAGCATCTTCCCATGATCCTGAATGGGAAAGGTCTACTGAGGGAATGAAAGAGATCTTTCCCTTCCATTCCTCCAGGAAACCCAGAACTTTTGTTTGGGTGTGTAAAACCAGTAATAATTCAAATGTTTATGTTCAATTAAGAAGGTATGAGGTAATGCTTTTATTTATGCATATAAATTTCATTCATTGCATATGAATGTAAAAATCTTTAAGCACACCATTTTCCATATATTATTCAACTCTTTTAAAGCCTCTTGCTTAGGGAAGATGTTCATGTACTCAAAGATTCAAAGCAAATAAAATTTTAAAATGGTTTCTACTTGAATATTTCTCTTTCAAACTCAAAACCAGTTTTCTACCTCAATTCTAAAGTCAGCATCTTCACCTCTATCAGTACATCACTTTTCTCCTGCTGACTGACCTTTGTTCTCCACTAGCTTTTACCTGCAATTTTTACATAAATGGGTGTCGAATTTTACATAAATGGGTGTCGGCAAGATCATGGGTAATTTTTAAAATCACCACATCCATCAGTCGACAAGGAACTGTGAACCCTTTCTTCTTCACTGAATTTCTCTAATAGCACCCCTAAAATTTCCACTTCTACTTTTCTCATTTCCCCTGACTCATCTGACACTTGCTTTGAATCCCGATTACTCATTAATTCCCCAAAACTGTTAAGTTTCCCATGCTGTTTTTGTTCCGATACTCTACCTATCTTTACTTATTAATATAAACACTCTAGCACTGGGTTTCACAGTATCTATCTATCTATCTATCCATCCATCCATCCATCCATCCATCCATCCATCCATCCATCCATCCATCCAATCTATGAGACAGAGTCTTGCTGTATTGCCAGGCTGGAGTGCAGTGGCGTGACCTTGGTTGACTACAACCTCCACTTCCCAGGTTTAGGTGATTCTCGTGCCACAGCCTCCCATGTAGCTGGGAATATAGGCGTGCACCACCACACTCCGCTAATTTTTGTATTTTCAGTAGAGATGGGGTTTCACCATGTTGGCCAGGCTGGTCTTCAACTCCTGGCCTCAAGTGATCCACCTGCCTCAGCCTCCCAAAGTGCTGAAATACAGGCATGAGCAACAGAACCTGGCCTACTTTCTCATATAATGTGTAAATTATTTAGTCCTACTCATTCACCATTATACTTTCAACTGTGTACCAATATAAAATACAACACTGCAAAACCTTATGCTTCCGTCCAATGAAAACTAGTGACAAAACTTAAGTACATCTTCATTCTCCAAGTCTTTCAGAGGCACACATTTATAAAAGTTTTCCTAACTCTCTTTATCAAATACGAAACTGAGAGGCAAAGCAGTTTTAATTCTAAGCAGTTTTAGATTTCAAGGCAAAGCAGTGTTTTCCAGCTTTAGAAAAACAAAAAGTAAATAAATAAAAAGACTCTAAGCTAAGAAAAAAAAATGAATGCTGCCACTCTTTCCCGTATGAGAAACAAATTCCAAAGAAGACTTAACAAG